AAAAAAAAATGCAGAGATTGACAGGCACAATTATAGACACACAAATTGCACACACCCTCATCTACGTCATAACTTGGTGAAAAAATTATCTTGACAAGCACATTCAGTTTCCACCTCCTCCATCGACATTGAACTAGCGCACAATTTGCGCTAAAGCTTAGCTACTTAGTGGCGTTGTTAGAATTGCGCAGCACTGCTAAAGCTGCAACTAGGGCTAAAACCCGGTAACCAAACAAAACAATAAAGCTGGTAAATGAGCTTAGATAACCAGCTTCAGCCTTTCAATCTAGTTTGTTTCGTCTTTTTTCTTGTTCAACAATGATTTTTTCTTAACAGTTACGTTTTGTTTGGTGAACAAATCTAAACAAATGTTCACAACTGAGTTGCAAATACTATTAACCGGAACGATTATGAAGAACAAAAAGAATTTTTAGCTGATAAATATCTTTTTTATTGACCAAGTCTAGTGAGCATATATCATACGTGAAGAAAGTTTTCCTATTCCCCAAAATAAAGTAGTTTTTTCCATAAGTACTTTCCAGAAAAATAATCTTCAAAGAAAACCCGAAGAAATAAATACGAAAGCAAATTAATCTATTCTCCTCCTTATTTCAATTATGCTACAAGTTCTGATTCTTGGGGTTATATTTCAGTGAATAATACTACCAATTGAAAAAAAAAGTAGATGTCAATTAAACCTGCTATCTATCAAAATTTAAGGTCCCAAAAAAAGAAAAGTTAAGAAAAAAGAACTTTTTTTCGCCACTTTTCATTTTCAATATTTTAAACATTCAGGTAAAAAGCAAAAACAAAGACAGAAAAAAAAGCAGGAAATGAAAAAGTAAAAAATTTTGCATTATCTTTGTTTTCAACCTCATCTTCTCTTTTCATACCACATTTTCTCTCTACAGCGTCTTTCTTTTGAGATGGAGAAAAACAGAAGAAACGTTGACGCAAAAAAAATCAGACAATGAACAACGTTTGCTTGCTTTTTTTAAGGTAAAGGTTGACAACAGTTATTTTGACGTACACTTTGCCAATCCTCAAATTCCAGCTGGTGCTGCTGATGCTGTCCAAAAAGTTTTGTCGATCCTTTCTTCACATATACCGTTGATTTTGTTCTGATTAATGCCGATTTTGTTAGAACTGTACAACTAAGGCATCGGAAAAATCTCCCTACCCCCTCCACTAGCCCTCGTATCTTTCCGCCGTTTAACGCCTTTTCGTTATACTTTGTTTTCACAATCATTTTCCCTTTTCTTCTGTCCATCAAAAATAATTTTTTTTTTGTATGGCCTAATATACCATTAGTTAGAAGCAAAATAATGGCGCACACAAACACAAACAACACACATACAGAGCTATGGGACAACAGCAACAGGTGAAATTAACGGTATATATTCCGCCCTGGTTGCGCATACTACAAGAAATAACACAAACAAATAAAAAATAGTCTCTAAAATATCACATTGGTCATTCCATTGTATCCATACGCACCCATATTTCACTTCGACAAAAAAGGTCTGTCTAAACCACTTAAAAAACTTTTTTGTCTATTAAACCTTATTCTTCACTCAACAGTTAAAAGCCTAGCAAAAAGTATAGTTTTTTATCTGTTGCTAATCTTTTATCTTTTGTTGGTATGGCAAACTGTATAACTGCAGAAAAGAAAAAAGATCTGTTTAACGAGTGGGTTGTTAAAATCGTACAGTCACTGTCAATCCTAAAATGTTAAAGATAGTCAAGCAAGAAAAAAAATGAAAAATGAAAGAAGCAGATAAAATAATGTTGAAGAAAATTATTGTGAAATATATGCAGAAAAAAAGGTGAAAACACATGAAATGAAGTAAAAAAAACCAGCAACCACGTTAAAATGAATGAGCAAATGATTCCAGCCAACAGTTTCAACAGTTTTTGAAACCAAAAAAAAATCCTTCCTTCTTTTCTATTTCTTCTTCCCGTTTTTGCTACTTTGCAAAATTAGTCACTCGAGAAAATGAAAACGTCATTAAATGACAATCTCAATAATTTATTAATAAGGACTGATTTGTTTCACTTGCTTCTTGCTTCATTTTCTCTGATTGCTCAACGGAGAAGAAGCGATTTTAACGACCGATTAAAAAGTGCACCAAAGTAAGAGCTTAGGTTGGCTAAATAGAAAAAAAAGATAAAAGAAAATGACAATGAAAATAAGAACTAGAACGAAGAGAAACGTTAGATGTGTATTTTCTGGAAAACGAATCATGAAAGTGGTGGACAATCAAACAAAAAAATAATAACTTGGAAAACAAACCTGAAAAGCATTGTTTGGAATAACGGATATTGGTGTTTCACCAATTCCCAGTGTTCTTAGTTGGCCTATATATCGGAACATTTCTGGTTGCCACGATGGGAACTTGTTACCAGTTAGGTATAAAAATTGTAAACTTGGTACACCTTGAAATGCCTCTGGTGCTATCCTAGTGATTCCATTGAATTCTAATGACAACGAATTAAGATTTGGAAAATCCAGTGCACCGACAGGAACATCATTAATCTGATTTAACCCAAGATTTAGATTAGTCATCGTTTGTCGTTGGTTAACCAATGAAGCACTTGGAATTTGCGTCAGAGCGTTGGTTTCTAAGCTCAATTCTTGTAATGACCTAAAAACTACCACGAAAACTATACAATACTATCATTGTAAAACCAGCTAAAGCATGTTAATCGGTATAAATAAAAATTTATGACAGCAACAAGAAAAAAATAATAGAGTAAAAAAGAAAGACTAGGAAGTGGAAACCGTAATGGCCGAAATACAGTCGAATCACCGAGGCCTTGATTGGTAAGACGATTGCTGGCCAATTCAAGTTTTTGCAATAAATCGCGACTCTCATATCTGATAAAACTGTTCGAATCTAATTGATTGATACGATTCCGATTCAAGTACAGCTTTCGCAAATTGCGTAACCGTGGAACACCGGTTTGTGGAACACCCCCTAGCTGATTGTCCGAAAGGTCAAGCTCAACTAAGGAATCCAGAAGCGGCCCGTCAAATGCATTGTCGTCAATTTGGCTCAGAGTACAACGATTGAGGACAATCCGAAGAATAGTGAAACCTCGAAAAGCGTTTGCAGGAAGAGCTGGTATTGCCGTATCAAGGATTAGCAACGAATCAATCTGGAAATCAATTCTTTATTTGTTTGACCCGATCAATTCATTTACGACAACAGCAACAAAACTCATGGGGTGAGGTTGTGGTAAAATTTGTTCCTCTATCAAATTTATAAAATAATCTTCTAGGTATTCGGGACCAATGTTATTTTACTTGACCTATGAAAGACTTTTGAGCAACAAAAAATAAAAAGTTTTTTTAAAAAAATAGAGAAAAAACTGTATGATCAAGAGAAAAAGCCCCTAAAACAGCAAGCAGACAAAAAAAATATGATAATTAATTACCAAAAAGCTTTGTTTTTTTTTTTTTCAGTAGCCTAAAAATCTTTTGTTCCATATTCTCTCGCCTGTTTCATTTCTCACCTTCGCCGGTGTCACCATCTTTAGTTTTGTCTCAAAATAAGTGAAGAAAATAGACGAAACAAAAAACCCCGCTAAATTTATTATTTCAGTGTATAGCTAGTATTCCGTTTTCACTTTCAACTATTGATGTTGCTTTTACTACAATAATGGTCTCTCTTTTTGTTTAAAGTATTATGGTTCTTGAAACAAGCAAAATTGAACAGTTCTGTGTTATAACATTCTTTAAAACTGCCAAGCATTACAAATTCAAAATAGCACATTTCTCTCTCATTTCCGACATGCTTTTTTTTCTTGTTTTGTTTAAAGGTTCTGCTGAATAGAAGAAGTAGAAAACAAATTTTTTTCTCTTGGTCTAACTGTTTACAGAAGTTTTATAAACTAGTGGTGGGTAGTGGGCGAAAACAGAAATGCATTAAACTAGTTAACGCTGCAAAATACTTCATCACCATCCTCATCATTATCGTCATCGTTGTTGTTGTTATCGCTACCACTATTCCAGCTAATTCCGTTAACTTTTTTGCTTCCTAGCCAACAACATTTTCTTGCAAGCAAATTCCAACAAAAATACCACAAAATAAAAAGCTACAGGCCAAGAAAAAAAAAGAAG